TATATATATATATATATACACACATACATTAATAAAATTTCCAGAATCATTTATTGACTTTATAACTTATCTTTATATGTTATAAAGTCAATCATCTTTATATGAATCATTTTAGATCTAATTTCGGATCATGTATATCAATATATATGTAAATAGATGTAATATCTTGTACACATATATAAAAGTCACTTTTTCTTTAATTACCTGTGCAATACCTGTTACAGATATTGGAACTCCTTGACAGGTGTATACTGTTGGACTCTCAACTTGTAAGGTCATCGTATTTAAAGAAATCCTGTAAAAGCAAAATACGTCTAAACCAAAGAAGGCTTATTGCATGCTGTCTATATATTGAAAACTTATATGACACTCACTTTTGTACTTGTTGCACGAGGGGCCAAACAAACACCCGGCCTCCAGGTACCAAGAGAGGTTTGCTGTAGCAACATCCTGGAAGAGGCAATTAATGTAAAAATAATAGGAGTAGAAAATTGACAATATATATGGAAAATTGCAAGGAAAATGTTTTTGATTCAGTCAATATTAAATTAATATAAATAAAAGAATCGAGCTGCACATAATTTTATATGTATACAATCGAGCGGTATTCGATCATTCGCATATAGCAGACGATAATCTAATACGTTTCTAATGCGATCAAAGCATAACATAGGTGCGGTTGTTCCGAATCGATCCCGCGTTTCCCCACCGCCGTCTCGTAACGCGGATCAATTATCTAGGAGACTCAAGCGCTTCTTCCATTTTTTTTTCTCTTTTTTACGAAAGCAATTAATTCAGGGAAAAATACAAACGCAAAAAATTGAGATATCCGTGTAGCATTCAGAGGAGACTCATTTCACTCCATTACCTGAGACGACGAGAGCCTCGTTCGGGCCGCAAGTGACGAATCCACAACTCATAATTACACGTCAACGTAACTGCGGCCACTATGCGTAAAGATCGTGAGCTTCACGCAGTCGAATGACTGACGTCGACGTGCCTCTCGTACTTAGCAATATAGCGCGTATGCGGCGTATGTATAATGTCAATATATGTATATATACGCGGTAGCGCAAAATCCTCCCCTCTCTCTTGCCGCCACTGCCGCTAGCGTTTTCCTCCTTCCCCTAATGTTGCTCCGGTTGGTCCAGAATGCAGCGCGCATGAGCAAAGCAGAGAGACATGAATAAAGTCAGAAATTTTTTAAGCAGCTTCCACGCGAATTAACGAGATGTGTCTCTTTTTTGAAACCTGACACTTTCATTAAAACTTGACACGTCTGAATGAGAATAAGGAAGATCTCATGCAATGAGCAATTCGGTTATACAATTTGTATTTATTTTTTATGCAGTATTAAGATATACCAATTTGCTACAAAACAAAATAATTTACAAGATATTGTATATTTCAAATACCAAATGTGTATTAGAAAAAAAAATATAAAATACCTCGTAAACTGATTTTTTTATAATTCTATACTTTGATACTTTTATACTTATATGTATCAAATAACTAGGAGAATAATATAATTATATTGTACAATATTAAAAAAAAAATTATATAATTTTATTTTTAAAAAGAGATCTTTAGTCTCTCCGAAGTTACTCCACCTTAAACAAAAGTGTTTTGTCGTCATAAAATTGCTTCTGTACCATATAATTTCTATTAGATAAAATTTTCTCTTATTCTCACAGTTTGGAAGATATTCAAGGTTATAGTTATTGCGTCATCCTGTATAGTAATACTACTATACATAGTATGGCTGTTTGATTTGGGCTGAAAGCTTCATTCTATCTTCCTTCTGCAAGTAATGAATAGTAAAAACAGAATGAAGCTTACAGCTCGTGAGTGAATGCAGTCTACACATATAATAGTTATTACTATATATTATTACTAGAGTAATAATTACTATTTACTATATAGTAATAAAATAATCAATAGCAGTTATATTTCAATACACATATCTTCCCAGTTCTTCACAAAATCTTAAAATTATCAAAAAATATCCATATAAGAAATAGATAAAAAGTATCCAGAATTAGATTGTTATATTTGTTGAAAAACTGTCAATCATCAATAGAATATAAGAGATAGCGAGAGTGAGAACAAATCTCTTTTAAGTCTTTTGAATAATGTATGCAAATGAAAATAAAACTGTGACGTAATACTTCATTGTTCTTTAACTTTGAATTGCAGTTAAAAAAACATCTTATGTTAAAAATTCAACATTTAGATATATCCAAAGAATATTTTTTATAATACAATGATGCAATTTGATTTAAAATCGCCTGAATTGCTTTTTAAATCTCTCATAATGGTAATCGTCCGTTGCTTTCTCTCCGTTGTCTTTTCGCTTTCCTCGGATATCTTCTTTGGTAGTGCATTTTTTCTTATCACCAGACTCCTGCTGTGATTTGTGGAAATCTGAATCTTCTATGTTAACTGAAATTATAATAAATATTTCATTTACAATTTTGTCTAAATATGATGAATTCAAATTTAGAAAAACAAAATGCATGCGACAGTTTAATAATTAATAAGTTTAATTAATTAATAATTGAAGAGTATCATATGTATCATTTCATATAGGATTACGAAAAAGAATAAGAAAAGTAAGAGTCATACATCTGTTGTGCTGCACGAAATTTACAGCCATATTCGTAGGAACAAACTGTGAGGGTCCATCTTTCTTTCTGTGCCTGTCCCAAAGAAGTTTTAGTTTTGCCTCTTCGGTAGCTTCAATATTACGAATTTTAGCTCTAAAAATGAATTGTGTTCATAAAGAAAATATCTACACCTTACACATCTTAAAACTTACATTACAAATTAATTTAATACTAAATAGTTATTATACAGTATAATAACTAACTAATTGAAGTTCCAACTTTGTAGAATTATTTCCATACTTGCAAAATATATTTGTAATTTATATTCTTTATTGTGCAAATATACTCACTCTATGCCAAGATCAACTTCTGGAATACCAGAAAGCATTTGATTTGAAAGCATTTCCTCACTACGATTGGCTGAGCTTTGTCTCAAATGTTCTGGTACCGCGCGCAACGCTGCTTCCTCAGGTGAGCAATAAGATCCTTTTTCATTATTCGCATCATTCGCCGCATCGTTACTATTTTTACTCTTGCGCTTTGACAATTCTTCTTCTATGTACTTGACCCTAATAAAAGTAATGATATAAAATTGGTATTAAACATAAATAAACAAATAACCATTAATATGTTAGCTAAGTAATTATCAACGATGAATATAATAAAGAAGTAAATATTGCCATGCATACATTTCTTCATCTTCGTCACGTTTATTAGTCTCTGCATTAAACTGCGTTCCAATGCCAGTTTCATCTTCTTCGATGTACTTGACCCTAATAAAAGTAATGATATAAAATTGGTATTAAACATAAACAAACAAATAACCATTAATATGTTAGCTAAGTAATTATCAACGATGAATATAATAAAGAAGTAAATATTGCCATGCATACATTTCTTCATCTTCGTCACGTTTATTAGTCTCTGCATTAAACTGCGTTCCAATGCCAGTTTCGTATGCATCGTTTGGCTTATGTTTTGTATTTTTCAGTGCAGCCATATTTACCATTCCTCCAGTTTTCATGTTAAAGGGATCTGACTAAATTAACATTGATCATCTTTCATATTACATATTCTACACTGTGTTTATTGTGTTTAATTTCATTATGCATATATAGGTCCTTTTTTATTCCTATATTCTCTGAACTGGTACAAATGGTACAATAAGTTAAAGTGAAACAAATATAAGTTTGTTTCACTTCAATTTATTGCACCATGTGCATCAGTTCAAAAAATACAGAAATAAAATAGACTTTATGTGTGTATGTATTGTATCTTACTGTTATGGCATCAGATGCAACGTTTTCTCCGAGAGCCAAACCAACAACATCAACACCAGCCGGCCTCTCACGGAGTCTTTGAATGATTTTCATCTCCTCAACCTTTTCCCTGTAATAAGTCTTTTCCTAATCACGTTGCTTATGTTGGGTTAAAAACAAAATATGTACAATCTTTACCTGAGGGACACTTTTTCCTCCTCGCTGTCATTATCATCTGAAAAAACTTGGCGTTTCCTTAAAGATTTCTTGTTCTTTTTCTTAAACTGAATATTAGGCGCTTCATCATCGCCACTGCCCATTTTTTATTATTTAATAAAAAACCTATTTCCTTTCAAGTAAAATCACTATAGACAGGTTAACGTTGACGCAGAGCAACCTGAGCAACGAAAAGTCGCTGTCAATCGGTCGATAAGTCTTCATGAGAAGCACTCGGCCTGATTCCATCCCGAGGAACCGAAGGTAATTGAAGAATCGATATTATCGACAATTAATACAAATTTGCGATTATTAACATAATAATTATTATGTTCAAATATATTAATTCAAATACATTAATTCAAATATATTAATATATTTGAATTATAATACAACAAATACGTAATTATTATAGTCATAATTTTTTATTATATAAATGCTGCATAAATAAATATGCGTACTTGTAATGCTATAATATCTCATATATTGCCTCAAAATTATAATTTTTTTCTTTACAGTTATCATCTCTATATTGATAATCTAACTCGGATAATAACATTAAAATAACAGTTTATTTAAATAAAAATCGAGTATTATTCAGGGTGTGCATCTACGCGTAAATTATAATATTCTACGTTTATGTATAGACAACGTAAACTATTGTATAAGGTGTCATCTACGTAGACATCTATGTTATAGACAAGGACAAACAATCAAATTTCTGATGAAGTGAAGAGGCAAGATTCACGAAACTTATTGGCACACCAATGAGGACAAAGAAATTATGGTTCCTTTTGGTCAAATTTCAATCTTTCAATCTTCAATCTCATTCTTCAATGCGTAGTCTGATTCCGGTCTAAAGGGATTCTAAGCTAGGATCCGTTTTTTATGGCTGAATTAGTCTAAACTTTTGGGAATTAAAGTGAGATAGGTTTAATATTTGGCAAAAGCGAGAAAGAGAATTCTGCAGGAATAAAAAAAACATATAATATTTCGTGTCATCGTACTTTTCTTACGCCGATCTTCTGTTTTGATATAATAAAATATGCGATTAACGTTGGAAATGCTTTAAAAAATGTCGGACGATTATTATTCTGGCAATTAGCGTGCATATTGATCTTAATTAACCGGTTTTCCTCACAAGTTCTGTTATGAGTGAATGAACGCTAAAAGTAATAAAAAGGGAAATTGGCTCCAGAAGACATCGGGAGATGGCAAAGAATTATAGAATGAATAATTTATTATTTGTTTAATATTTTTTTACTTATGAAATTAATATTTTTTCTGCGTACTTTGTAAATTATGTTGCAGCGTATAATTTATATGAGATGTCTCAGACTATCTTTAGATGTTTAAAATATTTAGTAAAATATTTATAACATTTAATATTTATATACAAATAATTTAATCTATTAAATAAATGTTATTGTATATTTTTATATATACTTAATATGATTTTTATAAACGTTAAGTTTCAAAATGAAAATTGGACATTTTGTAATTATTTTTACTTTAAATTTATGTAAAAAATTATAATTTTTGTTTACTTTGTAATTTGAATAAATTTAACATTATCGAATGTGCCATGTATGTGAGAAGTTTTCATATTAAAAAGAGCAATTGACAAAAAAGAATGTCGGTATTTACAATTACTTAGGACTTAGGTGACAAGGATAACTACGAGCATAACGATAGAAGCGGAACAGGAAAGATTATGAGATACACACATAACGTGGCGAAGTGCACTTCTACTACCGCAAGTAAGAATGAGAAGTGGGGGAATCAGTGACGGATTAACATCTGCTGAAGACTCGAAGTATCATACAACATATTTCTTTTTTTTTCTCAAAGTATATAACCTATTTATTTGTGAAAAGATTCGATAAAAATATATGACGCATAAATCATAAAATTTATATACATATAAACTATATGAATTTATATTCCGATAACAAGATATAATAGAGATTGAATTATGTTAAAAAAAAATTTCTTTTAATTTAATTCATGCGCACTTTAATAAGTAATTCATATTAAACAATTTTTTTTCAAAATATTGACTATTTTTCCAGCATTCATTATGTAGATCTCAGATAATGTCGATAGAAAAAATTAATCAATAAAATGTAAAATGTCTGTGTAAGTCTCTACAAATTCTTGGTGCGTTAAATCAATAATTAAACTTTTTGAAAAATATCTAATATATTAAGTGAAAGATGTACATAAAAAAATATACGGTAACAGGAATGTGCCTAAACTAGTAATCTCTCCTCTTTTGTCCAAATGATAAAACGATGGTCAAAGTGCAAAAAAATAAAGCAAGAAGAGAAATTACGCCTAATTCCAAACTGATGAATTATGTATAACAAGATAATGTCTTCATACTTGATGTACATTACAATGTACGCAAAACATTTCCTTTTTAAAGACCTAATTTTAAATAAATTCCTGTTCGAAATCAAGTGATCTAAGATCAGTTTTCTATAAAGATCGAGATAACGTAATTTCCCTTGAGTACCTATTATGGAAATGTTCGGAATGGATTCCGATCGGAATTATTCAATTATTCCTTAGATTTCTATTATGTTTTCCGGGGAAAACGAAATAATTCCGATCGGAATCCATTCCGAAGATTTCCATAACAGGTGCCCTGGCTTAACGCCACGATATTTCGTCGATTGATCCGGCACTGTGGGTAGCGGCCGTAGCGTGGCAGCAACAGTGGGAGAATAGCGGCTCTCGGGAGTTAATACCGTAGGTAGTGCGCAGTGGTAAAGGCCTCCGTGCGCGCGGGCCGTAGTGAACGCACGTCGCACACAACAGGTGTCCCGCGATCGGCAGGATCGGCTCTCCCGTGGTACTGTCGTACCGGTTCGGTTCTCTCCATTTTGCTCCCCCGGGTGTTTACTCCTCGTCGCCTTTCACTCCGGGACAAGAGCGTGGATACGCGAGCGCGTGTGGTGAACCGAGCGTGCGGATCGGCGTAACATGATGTCGGAGACCGCGGTGACGATGGACGGTTCCAGCAACAACGCCAGCAACAATCCGCGGCAGGTACCGACGGTGAAGACGGAGCCGGGTCAGCCGAGCCCGTTGGCCGGCATCCGGCTGAACGTGCCTTACTTCAAGACCATACCTGGTATTCTCAAGCTCGTACAGCTGGTAAGCGGATCACTTTTTGCTACATCTCACATTCGTTCCGTTTGTAACGCGAGATACGAGAGTCGGCGGATACTGTCGCGCTAGGCACGTCTATTAACTGGCAACGCGTCTCTAGTTTTCATCGTTTTAGTTTCTAATTTTGCACTCCGATTGTTTAAATTCGAGTGTTGTTCAATAAAGCCATCGCTGAAGAACTTTATTGACCTCGGGTAGAACTCCGATATGGGCTGGATTCGGAGAGACTCTATTAGCACTATTTGTGTTATTCTATCTTCATCGTCCATTAAACGTGAAACAAGGATAGTATGACACAAATAGCGTTGATAGCGTGCTCCCCGAACGCAGCCTTGATGTTATGTGCTAGCTCTAGGCGCGCATTTCCAAAATAACGTCATTTCCGATTTCACAAGACAGTACCTGTTCTTTTTAGCTAAAGTTCTCGCACGGTTCACTTTTTCTCTTCTTCTCTTCAACGTCGAGGGAAAAGGAAGAAAAATGATCTCATATATCATGCCGCAGCTTTGGTCGAGTTCTACCTAAAGGATTTCTAGCCTCGGGTATTGAATAGTTTTTCCATGAGATAGGATAACGTAGTGGTACAATATATAAATCTGTGTAAACATGAAAAACTTCTATTTCTCTAATACTTCAAAAATGTAAAAAGTCTATTTTTTAGTTCACAATGACTGAAAGATAATAACAGGCCAACGTTGACATTTTTATCTAACGATAGTTCTTAAAGGAATTACATATATTTATATATTGAGAAAAAAATGTTCTAGTTAAACTAACAAAAATAAAAAAAAGTGTTTTGACGAGGATAAACAAAATTTCTACTTACGATAAACGAATCAAAATATTTTTTTATGGGGTCCTTTTATTATAATAATTTAAGAACATTTTTTTTTAAGTCTAAAATGTCGTCTTTAGAAATTATGACAATACTATTTTATCTGGCGTTAAATAAAATTTCAGTAAAGACTGAAAAACATATTCCTGGTGCATAAGTCTTTGAAGTTGATTTTTATTAGATCAAACAGATCCTTATTTATTGATGAAATACATACAAGATAAATGGAACTTTACAATATGAAATCGTCAATAATTTTTACAATCTTACAAAAAGAAATATTATTCTTCCGAATCCTATAATCTAATCAGTAGTCAACTTTAATCCTGTGATATATTAATATCACGTCAATCATTTTTTAATTATCTCTCGATTCTCAGCTTCTCGGATATAAATTCTCTATTTCCAGCTTGGATTTAGCTCGATATACTTGCTTATCACGTAATATCTAATAATAGAAGTATTAGAGCCACTCGGCGTATATTTTTATAACACCATGAAGCAATTTCTGGTAAAATAAATAAACACTACAAGCCGTTTGAAGAGGCAGAATTGACGTTTCGTCGATCAAATAGATGCATTATACATTTTTTTAACGTATATGTGAGTATATAAAAGTTACACAAACGTAAATTATGACATAATCAAAGATGCATACATTTTTATCTTACACTTTGATGATTGCGCAGACACCTGTAGGTATTGTATTGACTTGCCAATTGGCAACGCGGCGTATTTCATTATTAAATGAGCTCTCGAAAGATTCAATATATAGAATGTTCACAATTCTACGTTTTATTGTACGAATTTTCTTTTCTTACTGTATTATTTTCTTTCAACTTAGGGAATCGTCAAGAATGGAAAGAGATCATCACAAAAATGTCATCTGTGTGTTTCTCTTCCTGAGATTTACTAACTATATTATTGCTAGTAGAACTTTTATTACTTCGTGGCCGACTAAAATGGAGCGCGAACAAGGAAAAGGATTTCTAAAATAGTTCCCGATCATTTGTATGCAGCGAATTCTTTGGAGGTGTTGCATACAGACGGAATAACGTTATGTAATGTCTAAGTCGCGCTTTAGTGTGGTAATAATACAAAATTCTACGTAACTAGCCATTATACCACGAAAAGTCACGTGGAAAAGTGATTTTCTGGCACGATTTCTTCAACTTCTGACTCTTTAATAATATTAAATATGTTTCTTGTACGTATATCTCTTCATATATTTCCGATATCTTGAAGAAAGTTTCGTAAAATCTTCTCCTTTGCGTACAATTGAATTCTTCGCTAAAAGGAATTTTGTATAACAGAGGAGTGAGATAGTAGTTTAACATAAACTATTGTTATCTGTTTAATATCGAGGGAAAATCTGAAGGTTAATTGTATGTTTTCAGCCATTTCGATCAAGCTGCATCTTTTAATTATTCGCATATGAATTATTGAGAGCTACTTAAGATTTCAATTTGTTTAACATTGTGATTGACGTCTATCAAGAGGTTAACGATATTGATGCTTTCACTCGTTTCCAGGATTTAAATAATACCGATTGTATTTAGCGTCATTCAGATATTATATAGAAATATGCCAAGGACCATTCTCACGCCGTCTATACTTATCGTATACGAACACATGCTAAGTACACGGGGAATGTTATGACTTTGATAAGCACTTTATGCTTCAGGTCCTTGCGACAACTGAATTAGAAACAACTTCCTCGGTTCATTCGGTTACGATTGATGCTTTCTAGGAAGAAATTTAACTTTCTCGTCGACCTCGATTCAAACGCTTGTCTCCGATTGTGACGAGAAAATATTTGCCGTCAGGTGAAACGTTTGAATTAATTAAAAGGAATACTCAGAAAATAATCCGTTTTTCTCTCAATCGTAAACACATTATTTACATACTGTAGCTTAAACCAGTTTTCTTAATTCCATCGCTTCGTTCGAACGTTCGTGTACGTCTACAGATTGTTTTGCTGGAGTATTTTTTTAAAAGAAAGTATATAAATGTTTTCCTCTTTTTTTTCATCAGGTTATAATTATTCGTTGCTTGTTGAATCGCGTTGATTTTTTGTACACGCGTAATCTCTGAGTGGTATCTCCGGCAACACCGAGACGCGAATCTTTACGAAACCCGGAAGACAATTTTCGACTAAAAATTTTGGTTGACACGAGACGCTCGTTTCATTAGCTTCATAAAATTTACATCATTTTTATTATTAAAATACGTTTCCTAATGCTCTCTTTCGCGTCGAAATTTACGAGATGCCATTGTATAGTTTCCAACTTCTATTCATTCTAAGCTTCTGTAAGATATAAATAACTCGTCCCTCGGATTTACGTGGCACTTAATTTATGCAGGTTTCTTTTTACGCGGTAAATAATCTCTCAATTTACACGGACTTTTTATACGCGGTTTTAATTTACGCGATCTCATTTTACGCGGTTCTTTTTTTTACAGTTTCTTTTACAGTTAGCCACAAAACTGGAAAATTTTAGATATTGTTTCAAACATCCAACGAGCTTTAAAATTTCATGAAAAATTTTTTTAAATATTGCAGTGAATATCAGAACATTTATAATAATTTAGTAAAAAATGAGCTTGGTAAATGATTATCTGAACACGTAAATATAAATAATGAAACCGGAATAATATTTCTAAATAGAAAGAATTCGAATATGAAGATAGTGACTTTATGCTAGTTAAAAAGAGAGGGTTAATGGTTTTAAATTACAGTTCAGACAGCGACAACAAATAAAATAAGATTAAAAAAAATTTTTTAATATATGAATCTTTTTCATGACTTATGTTGTGTTTTTTCTTAAAAATTTTTTTCCATACTGATGGACTCTTTCCGCGACTGCGTAAACTGTGTACTATTTTCGTGTACCATTAAAGAGTGTACTATTTTTGCAAGGTTCTATGTAGGATTCGATTGTTCTGCGTTGCTCGTAAGAAAAAAATTAAGAATAAATTAAAACCGAGATAAAAATTAATCTCTATTGATAGCAATGGACGTCATTGGGATTATCTTGATGGTAAAGCGGAGGTGAAAATAAAAATAATTTTGCGATTTGATCTTCCAATCAATCTGGAAGCACGCATTGCGTGCACACGCATCATCATGGCGTCGACCGGGCGTTTTGCACCGTGACGTTGAACCTGCAGTGGCATAACCGTGTAACGGTAATCTTCTTACGGAACGACTAACAAAGTACCCTACCCTCGCCAGACGGAAAAGATGGCTTCTGATCGCAACATTACACAAGTTTATTTACTTTACTTCGGTGTGATCGTTTTATAAAAAAAAAAATGAATCAATTCTTCAAATACTCTCATTATAAAGTAACCACCAATCAAAACAAAAAAATAAATGCAAAGAAAAAAATAATGCGGATAATGTATTTAAATTATTTAGTGGACTGAGAAAAAAGAAATAGCTTGTTTTCGACAAAAGATAATTTTAAGAATTTTTTATCGTTTATTTTGAATTAACATCAGAGAAATAGCTTGATGCAAAAAGTCGCTGAGACTCTGCTGTTATGTGCAGTATATGACCGAAATTTACACGATTTATATCACACGTATAATACATAACTTCATTACGAAATATTTACGTGTCTGTATGCAAATATAATCTTATCACCGGTGTACTTAGCTATATACCGTCTTATCTTCAATACTGTTAGGTAAAATCAGAGCGCGGATTACTTTGGTTTGATTTTTAGATACGTTTTTCGACTGCACTTGTACGTATTTATATTTTACCTGACATTACGTACAAGGTCGTGTATTATTTACGGTCGATAGACGCGAGGGAAGGAATGTGTATTGATCTGACGCGAAATAGTTCTGATAATAGCATACGTGGCTATACAGCCAGCGACACTTGTGGCCGGGACAATGAAAAAAGCAATAATGAATCTTACATACGTTGCGAAAGTTTTGTATAGTCTCGCCGTTGGAAGTCTAATTGCGTAATAGCGTTATAACGAGGCTTCGTTTTTTCACGACGTTCATATTAGATGCCATTTACGTTTACGAGATTGCCCTCTACCCGTCCTATATATGAAGAACTTGAGTATATTAATTAATATCTCTCTTTTTAATCAATATCGTATATTATTGACACCGACGACGTAAGGTC